TTTCTTAATTTAAATTAAAAATATGTACATTCTGTTGATATAATATTGAAATGGTAAACGTCTCTAAATATCTAGAAAGATGTAGTGCCTAACAATAATATCCTTCGAACCACGACACAACTTACTATTTTCTGCCACTGCAAACTTACCTGCAAAAGAAAACATTAATTTAATATTACATATTTCAAATATAATTAAATTTCAATAGAATACCCAGTTTAATTGAATATATTAGTTCCTGGGAGTGCTTTTGATTTCTTGGAAAAATTTAAATATGAATGTCGAAACCTTTTGGCTGCAGAGTCCGATATTCAATAGAGATTCGATGAGTGAATTTAAATAACTGATAAAAGTATTAATACAGCACATTTATTCCAACCGTAACCTTGCGAACAAAATTTAAAAGCAGAGTAAATACAAATACAACAATTAACTTTTAAGTTAATATGCAATATATAAAGAAAAAAAGTGAAAGAATTCACAAAATATGCATGTTCAAAATAATAGGCGATATTGTTTGCTTTGATAAAATGTCAACAATGTTTAAATCAAATGTAGATGTAACGGTTTATAAATAATTCTCTTGTTCTTTTCATTAGCTGAAACCTGTTCGTGTTAAACATTGTGTCACACGTATTTAGCTGTCGTGTGGATTTACTGGCACATAATTTGAGTTGGTTTTGATCCATTCCATTGGAGCTGAAATTAAACTACCGTGGCAATGTTGGGATTATTATGTATATTATATTAATTGTTTTGTTAAAATTAAAATAAGAAGACGAACGATAAAATATAATCACAGGAGTTTTCTTCGCGTGAAACATAAAAATAGATAGTGACAATTAGGTCAAATATTTTGTTTACCTGCTGCCGAAACTTATTTTTGTTACCATCCCTACTAATATTATAAATGCGAAAGTAACTCTGTCTGTCTGTCTGTCTGTCTGTCTGCTACGCTTTCACGCCTAAACCACTGAACTGATTTTAATGAAATTCGGTACAGAGATAGAGTTGACCTTGAGAAAGAACATAGGATAGTTTTTATCCCAGACTTTTGAAAGGTTCTCTTGGAAACGCGATATAACCGAACTCCACGCGGCGAAGCTGCGGGCGGAAAGCTAGTGTTGAATATAAAAGTAATTAGAAGCAGTAGTATAAAACTTAAAAACTATAGAATAAATATTTTTATTAAATTATAAAACACCTGCTTGTATCTTAAACAATAATATAAGTACCAGCAAAAATGAATCTGAAATGAACAAACCCGAGAATATCAACTACTATTATAAATTAACGTTCTCACATTATAGTCCCTCAGAAAAATAAAGTTATATAAATACTTAACAAAAGTGAAATTAATTGAATAGTAACGATGTCGACTATAAATGAAAGAAATTATGTCCAATTGTTTTCCGTAATATAAATTACGACTCTCATGTTTTATTGGTTCTGTTAAGAATATTCATCATACCCAAACGAATGTGAGATATGAGTAATGTGAGAACATTTTCAGATATTCAATACCAAATGATCCCAAATGTATTTCTGACATTGTTAGTAATACGAGAACGATATTGTAGACATTATGTATCACTTAGAGATATTACTTTTGTATATATTAAAACGGAATTATTATTTTAATTTATTTCATACTTTCTACAAATAAATCCACAGCGGGACAGAAAGCTTAATTGCTGTTACAGACTGTAATCCTATCTCAAGGACTTATTTCATTTTATTTCAGTGTTCTAGACTGATTGAGTTGCTGTTCGTGCAAAAAAACTTATTAGTACTTGATACTATTTTATAATAAAAGTATTAATAATACTTTACTAGTCTTTCATTCTTTATTATAGAGAAAATATATTAAAATTGTTATATGTATATACAAAAATGTTACATTGCTAATACGATTTCATTATTATTCCTATCCTTCTTGGGAATAATCATAAACTCAATTCAATTCAAAAAAACAGGTTTTCATTTGACACAATACTTTTCTTTATTAAATAATGGAAGCCCAAATCACTTTGAGGATTCTGCAAGAGGATTATAAATAACAAATGATTGTCAGTGAATACATTAGAATGGTAGATGTGGATTAAATAGAGTTTCTCTTCTAAATTCAATAGAATTATTCAGTGATTGCAGTAAGAACAGATTTGATATTAAAAAAATATGTATAAACATTTTTTTGCTGTACATTTTAAAAGTATGCAAAATAAATTCTTCCATGCATTACGTATTTTACATTTTGTTCTCCGGTCTCACGCTGTGTTCCAGTCTGATCAATATTTCCAATTACAGTTACGCTTTCATATTAAAAAGTAACTTCGCGTATGAAGATTGAATTTAACTCCATAACTATTCGACAAAAATATCATATATAAGTTAATGACAAGTAAAATATCATATTAATTTAAAGAATGTATTAAAATATTCAGCAACAAAGAAATTTGAATATATAAACGGTTTAGTATTTCCTAATTTATAATCTTCCATATTAAGATATACAATTGTATTATATACGGTGAAATTGTTCTCTGAAATGGAGTTGTTAGATGAATTGTAGTAGGATTTATTTGATCAAGTCCGCTCGGGTGGCGCTGATCCTCATTTGTTATTATTTGGAAACATATTCGCATGAAATATTGCTTACAATATTTTCAATTCTATTTTTATTTATAAACATCGTTAAAAGATTTTATTCTATTTGAAAATATAAAAAAAAAATCTGTTAGTTAAACTTTTATTGGCATGAAATGAAATATCTATATTTGAACGAGTACGACACGTTTTATTTGGTTAAATGCATTCCGTTTATAAAACCTTTCGCTAGAGCTGCTATATAAAGCAGTATGACATACCTTTCGGATGACACTGTACTATTTCTGTAGAGGTATGTACTTAATGTTTACCAAACGGCCAACTGTTCACACAGTGCCTTACTAGCAAACTTATTATGCGCTGTTTTGCTACCACCAGGAACGTTTTTGAATGATTTTTTTTTGTAGTACGAAATTTTGTAACATTTATGTCACTCTTAATATTATTTTCTTAACATTATGTTCAAATATATGAAAGAAAATATTTTATCGATTAAACTTTCATGTTGCTGATAAATTGAGTGCGTAGTAAATATTTAATTTTAGGGTTACCTATTTATATCAATCTGTTAAAAATTTAATTCTTTAACTTATTTCCTCTCTCAGGAATATACAGTATATATATATATATATATATATATATATATATATATATTTATAATTTCAGAATAAATAAAAGCGTGTTAAAAAGTAACCTCCACTTATCTTTTTAATCGATAAGTTTAAAAGATAGTTGAGATCCAAGAAATAATTTTATCTATCTTTCGTTTTCATAATACAGTAGACCTACTTTTAATCTGATAAACTATACATACAATTACAGTTTACAGATGTACCATTCATATTAATATATTATCTAACAAATATCGATATTGAATTTGTTAACATTATCACATTTTTTTATTATAGTAGTAAAGGAAGCACTTCAGTTTTATCTGTTTGATAAAAATTTTATGATAATCTTCGAGTATCATGTTGGTTGTTCGATAAACGTTTTCATCATTGATATAATCATATCAAAGTAATGATGTAACTACTACAGAATCATTTTCGTCAAACACTTGATATTGTTTCATATAATTCTTTTCTCTATATAGTAGTTGCATAAAAAGGTCGAATTTGAATTTTAAATAAATTAAATGAGAATATAATATATTCAATATCTATTTTGAAATTATTTACCGTTGATAAAGTTATCCTTAATGTAAAAAGATAAAAATGGGTTATATGGGAATCTTATTAATTTAGAACAAAGTAAAAAGAACGTTTCAAAATGAATAGATTAAAAATGAAAATTAAGGTAATTATAAAAATATAATACCGTAGCTAAATATTAATAATTAAATGAATTGTACTTAAGTAAGCTAATTAAAGAATATTTCATTGTAGCTTCGAAAACGTTAATTTCTTTAGACGAGCTGCTCGTATCTTTACAGTCCGTTGATCTATAAAGATTTATTTCAGTCACTCATTTGTTTGTAAAAATAAAATTCATATAATTTAGCACGGAGAATGTTGACTGATCTGTTTTTGATTTACATTGTACACGGACTTGGAACGATTCCAATACTTACGTGCATTTCTATTGAACATGCTCTAGGCATGAGTTTGTGACTCAAATATTTTGTACATTTTATATGTGTTATATATGTGTAAAGTTGTATAAATTAAAGTAGCCTTAATTTAATTGTATTAAATGGAAAGAAAAACTTAAGGTTTTTAGCTGAACACTTTAAATGTATATTATTCTGTATGTGTTAGGTGGCAATATTAAAAGATTTACTAAAATATTTGTCTACATATATCTTACAGTAAAGTCACTTTTAATGTCGGTTTCATCTTAGTAACAATTTCTTTCTAGAGATTTCACTATATAGAACAGATTTAATAATTACAAAAAAAATTGATGACTGCTTAATTAAATTGTTTTTAGGTATAGATATTGGAGGAATGGTTAAATACTCCTGCATTTTTGAATACCTTTCAGACATTAATATGTTATAGATAAATTATGAGTAAGATTTGGTAACTATCCACTAAAAAAATGCCATGTGGTGAAAATTATTTGACTCTTAAATTTAAAGTTGTTTTTCATTTTAAGATTTAATATTTTTGAAACCATAAGTTAATAAATTATTACGATTTCGTACTAGCTGAAATAAATTCTCTTTGTGTGTTTGTTTTAGTAGTGTTCAAACGATAAACCGATCTAAAAACTTCATAGCGGTAATTCGTTTATAAAACAGAAATATCGTTGTGTGAATGCTGTTGTTTAATAGTCTTCGGAACATAAATTTATTTTCGCTCACCTTTCGCAGTAATGGAAAATTTTAAATGTGTTTTATATTTTGTTTATAAAAGAGGTAAAGAATATTATGAATAGAAAATATGCACCTTTCAAAAAATACATCGGATCCGTCGGAATCACTCCGGGGTAAAATTAATTTGGGAAGCACCATTCCTTTCTTTCGTCTTCCTCTTATACCAGATGGAACAGGCCACTGCAATTCCGTAATCGCCATTGGACTGTGAGGGCTTAGAATTGTTAATCGTCGATCTGGTGGCGGTAAGCTTAATTGTTGTAAAGCACGACGATCGGTGCTTGCAAATAACCCTCGTTTTTTCTCAGCTGAATTTCCCATATCTTCACCGGATAGTGCCCTACGTGCCGGCGCGCCCCTTGCTTCTCGAACATCGCGTTCACTGGCTGTTAAAAATGAACTACGATGCACTCTAACTGAGGTACATGAGCTAGAGGGACGCGCCGGTGAGGAATCTTTACGTGGACGAAGGCTTTCCATTGATCGTGCTGTTTCTACTCGGGCTGCAGCCAAATATTGCCCACTTGTAGTTGTAGTTTGGGCCATTTCACCTTCTTCTTGGCTAGAGCTAGAAGTACCACTTCGAGAAAATGTGCTTGTTTTAGACACAAAACTCCTATCACTATACTGAGCTGTTGAAATGCTCGAACATGTTTGGATATCATTGGATTCCGACGAAGCTTGTTCGCGGACATGTAAAGCGCTTTCTTCTAATGAAGAATGAACGACTCGAGTATTTAGAGAGCTAATCACCGCGAGTTTAGGTCGGCGGTTTTTCCTTTCATCGTCTTCCTCTTCCATTTTTAAAGGAAACCTAAACTATATCACAAAAGGTAGCACCTTACTAACACAACACTATTTAATACGCCATTTTAAGTTAAATTCTTTATTAAATCATAATAAATGTAAGCTTAATTATATGTAATATACATATGAAGGAACACAAGACGCAGTCTTTATCACTTTTTGAGAACACTTCACGCACATTCAAACACCTGAAACAAATTTAATTTAGTTAACCTTTGAAATCAAATGGATTTAACAACGTGAGTGCTATATTATAAGTAAGGGGCAACAAGGTATTTAGGGATTGAGGGAAAAATCGATCGGGGTAGGCTTTGTGTAACTCGAACAACACAAGGATGGCCTAAATTTAAAATGTTATTATTTAAAAGCAAATTTTAGTATACTTGAGCGGAAACAATATTTTATATTGATCTTTTAAAAACTTATGTTATGTGATGCTCACATATTAAAGAAATATAGTAAAAAATAATTACATTTAAATAACTTAGTTGGCTGGCTTAGAGTCGAGCGCCAATTGCCCAGCTTGAGAGGCACAGTCAGTCAGGGCTTTTACTTGCTCCGCGTTCAAACCAGTTGCTTTCACCTTCACATCAGCGCTTCTAGAGTGTTCTTTGCTTTCGCTGCTTGATTCCACCCTTTTAGTTGTTTCATTACCATATTGATCGATAAATGTCTCTTCTTCGAACTCTTCTTCGTAACTTTCTTGGAAGCTTTCTCTAAATTCTTGACGGGCCTGAATAGTTACTTTTTCCGTTGTTTGTCTCTGTTGCACCAATTCATCCATCGTCTTCTTGACTAGCTGCTGGCCAGCTTCAAGAGTCTTGGTTTCAGACATTTTTTCAATTTGCGGAAGTTCTAAAATTTTTATACAATATTTTAAAGACCTTAGATTGCCAAATATTTAAAAGCCTACCAGTACTGTTCATAAATATACGAAGATAAGTAGTTCAAGCAATAAACAAATCTAGAAAAAGGAAGCTCCTATTTTGATTGTAAATGATACGGCGCGTTGGCATCATGCCAGCAAATTTGGTTCGAATATAAAATTTCTTTGTTAGATTTTTTCCGAAAAAAGTTGTGAAAACAAAATTTATTTTCTGAAACAGCTTACATATGTTCTGTATTGATTATTATGGGTATGTATTAATGATTATTGTATCCATAATAAAAAAGAATGAAACGAAAACGAAATTAAAAAATTAAAAGATTTAACATTAAAAATATTAAAATTCAAGGATGAATTTACCTGGTTACTTTAAAAAGAATCACAACACTTTTATTTTATAAGTAATACTTGGAACTTCTTTTTATTGTAAGAGAAGCTGCCTTTGTCAGGACTGAGAGTAGACTGACGGTCAGCGGGGTTTTGTTTCGTTCTCAACTTTGCGTGGGCGGATGTAGTATGTATGTGTCTGCGCCTGCAACGCGGCCAAAATGCTACTTATTCTCGTTGGCAAATACTAAGAAATACTCTTGTTTTTGTCATATGATAAAATTAATGCCACAGAGAAATATTTGATCTATGATCAATCCTAATTTTAACGGAATTTTACGATATTGACCTTGAAAATTTCTTAAGATGCAATAAATTATTTCAAACAACAATAACGCCTTTAGTAAATTATTACCATACTAAAATTAATATCATTAGCTTCTAGTAATAAACATGAAAACTTTTATTACTTTTGTATATTTATTTTTCAATTCAAATACAAGGTCAAAGATGTCGATATTTATTAAAGAATCAAAAAAACGAAATAGTATCATTGTTTTTTCAAAATATTTCAGTCCGATAGAATGCAACAAAGAATTCAAAAAGACGGACAGACAAACTAAATTTGTGAGGAGCAGTGCCCGGATCTGAAAATAGCAAATGCGTCAAGAGACGGAGAAATACGATGAGTCTCGCCGATATGATGGTGGGGCGATAAACAAGAATGATGACTGGCAAAGTTATCTCTGACTCAGAAGTAACGTCACAAATATTCAACAAATCAAAATGGCACATGTTTATTTGTTATTAAAAATATTGAATCATTTACTGGAATAAATATTGAAACGAGGACAAAATATGCATTTAAGTGAAATTTATTTACTGTGAAAATAAAAAGTTTGGATGGTCACGTTTAAAGCGACAAATTAATTGCTTTGCAAATGTGGTTAAAATGATTAATGTGAGCCGTCTCGAGCGGGATTAAAAAATGAGTTTACAAAATATTCTTTTATGACAAAAAGTTAATTCAGTTTATTTTCAAATAACAAACATAAATTAATAATATGGATGTTTTTGATGTAATTATGTGTTTTGTAATTGAGACTAAAATTAAATATGTATATGTATAAATATTTAGACTATATTTAGACTATGAAAAGGCTACAGGGCGACGTCATGACGCGGAAAGTATGAAACAATCACTGCAGCATAATTCAAGACGTTTTGCTGCTGAGGTCATGGTATCAATAGAAATGTTTCTTACATTTCTCATCTACGATTTTCGTACGACATTGCCCTAATGGCTGCAACTTTACAAAAGCTTCCAAAGATGCTGGATACCAAGTCATCTCTGTAAATTTGGGTAAAACTAAAGTACTAAACAATGACAACTTTGACCGGAACTTGATGTAGTCTCTTTTAAATATGTTCCTAGGGCAGGTGCTTCAATTAGATACACCCAACTTGACAAAGAGATCAAGAACTAGGTCCCCGGCGCTTTGTAAACTCCGTCAAAACTCAACTATCCAAAACTCTGCAACTAACAGTAAAGTTTTTCCGGCAGTTTGAAGTCATCTAGCAAGTTATGGAAGGAGCTATGCTTAGAGTCTCTTTAAAGGATCGAAAACGAAAAGAATTTAATTACCAGAAAATACCCCAACTGACATAGCGCAGCGGGTAAGCAAGCTGAAGTGGCAAAGTGGCAAAGCTACACATACTGCAAAACTTTAAGAAAAACAGTTCTAGCGTGGAGATCTCCAACCGATAAAAGAAGTAATTGATGCCTAGTAGTTGGAAGAGATAAAGATAACCGTAAGTGGAAGAGAATAAGGGAGAAGAGCTGAAGATCAAAATCTGACAATTGATTAAGAAAAGCCCTATTTCCAGTATTGGACTATTTATACCTGATTATAAGGCTACCATTATCTAAAATTGTTAATATTTTTATTTTATTTAATATTATTAGTGTGATTCGAACTTAAGGCCGTTATATTTATAATAATAAATTAATATTTTTCATCAAAAGTATGTGGTATATGTATATTTTATTTGATTAATATGGAAGTAAAGTTTTGTTTTTATATTATGATTCATATAACGAAGTGAACGTATGGTCCGACCTATGAAATATTCAGATACTCAGTAAACAGGCAAGTTTCCAACCCTTGTTTTTTGCATGTTTACGTAGGAGTATTGAAAAACATGTTGAATTTCAAATTATTAATATTTCTTTTATTTTAAAAGTTCATGTTTTGTTCGTGTAATATTTATATTTATACAGTGAATAAAATTATCAATATCATATATAATACCTTTTGTATACTTTCAACGAAATTTGAAATCTGTACGCTGAGTAGGTATTCCTTTTATGTTAAGATATGAGAATACTGTGGTTAAGATTGTTTAATATTTTAGTGATACCGTCTTTAGCTTTAGTTACAAAATAAGCAGACAAAGAGCTGGTTTGTTTCCTCATTAATATAACTTTATATAAGGGTATCGAGCTGAGGGTATGATGCTGCCTAAAAATTATGTTAGGTGCTAGAGTTTTTACAAATATACATATTAATACCAATTATTGTGTTTTAAATTAAATTTATAATTAAATTGCTTTGGACATAAATAGAACAAATGTATACAGATTTAACTTAAAATAGCGACTAATTAATTAGTTTTATACATTCCTATTTATATAAAAAATATAGTTTGCATGATCGGCTCATATAAATTAACGCTGAATAATGCTCCACTGACCCTTTTACACTTTGTTCCTTTATTTAATATAGGCTCGAATAAGTCTTAATGTGCCTAATACAATTAAATTATAAAATGGCACTATATCTCTACTTTTAAAACGTATGTTCATTAAAAGTATGATAAGTTGTATGTCTGATTGTAAGTGAGACAGTTACAAACAGTAATATTAACGTTTGCTCGAAATTTAATGGCTTTTTTATGGGAATTCAAAATTAAGTCTTGTAAATATTGTAATTTCTAAGCTTCTTAAGACTATTAAGACGTCTGAAAGTGATAACGTCTTATATAAATAATATGATCAGAAAATATAACAACTTATTCATCGATACACTTAATATATTTTATAAATTCAATTAAAAATTCGAAACGTAAATCTGTGCCGTTTCACAAAAAAAAGAAACATTTAAATGGTTTAAACTTTTAATACTTTTACTGTAAAAGTGCCAGGACCTTTCAACTGCAAATTATAACAGTTTTTTACGGCTAACTTTTTTTAATGTATTGTTTTTCACCGAGGGCTACGGGCTCGATCCCTTTTTGGAACATAATTTTTTCGTATTCTTGGAACAAACAGTTACGAATATGGATATTTTTATCAAGCATCATATATGTAAATCTGGCTAATTACAGTTTATAGAAAATTAAATATAGTATAAAATACATAACTTTGAAGCCTAATTGACGATGTATGATTTAAATATTAGCTTTTATTTCATAAAAATCATGTAACAGAAGAAAATTATTTTCAGTTAAACATTTCATATTGTATCAATAATTCAAAAATCCGATTTTCTGCTTTGCAGCAGTCCGGTAATGATTGGTATTATTAATGAAATTACGTTCGTATTTTACATTTTGTATACTTTTCATCGCTTTAAAATTAAGTTTAATAAGAATATTTTTATAAAATATAATAAATGTGAAATCACTTTAATATAGAAAGGTATGTTTTCATTTGTAATTTCAATCGCTATGCAAAGTGAAACCAGAAATAAAAAGGTTAGCGATGGGGATGGCGGTATTAACTATAAAACAAAGAAACTATTAACAATATTGCAAAGCTTATAAATATATATACAATGTAACATCTCTCCCAATTATGGAAAATGTATTACAATCAGCATGTAAGTAATACTAATAGCGGTATTATGTTATAAACATCTAATTACCGGGATGTTATGATTGACACAGATTTGATTACAGATTTGAACAGAATCCGATAAAGCTTTATGGATCAATATACACCATTGACAATGAAATATGACATGGTAATGTTAGATATATACAGATGTTTGAACGTCATAAATTTAAATAGAATAGAGAATTGACCTTTTTGTAATTAAATAGCCACAAAGTTACAATAAAAATTTAGTTTCTAAAACGCAAGCAAAGTTATGGGTGAAAGCGATAATATGGGTTTTATGACTGTTTTTGCTAACCTTTATAAAGATTTTTATTCTTACGAAGATGTTGAAACGTTGTTACTTATTTGCTTCTCTTTATAAAATGAATAATAAAGTTTGTATAAATATAGCTAACTTTTACATTGTGGATTATATTCCACAGCCTTGTAAATAATAAATTAACTTCCAAAATATTTTTCGGTTTTGTAAGTACAAACAAAATTTATGATAAAAAATACTTTACGAAATAATCTTTTAGTACATGATGTAAAACGTAGTTCACATCATAATAAACGAAATTGCTCATAATTACGGGCTATTCGTCTGCAATTCTTTGCACCATTATTCGGATTACCTAAAACGACTGGGTAACCTAATGTTACATAACCGATTTATATAGGTTACCTGACCTTTCAGTACTTTAGCCTTTAGCCTCGTTGTAAATGTAGATTGTATTGCCCT